CTAACAAAATAAATATTTACATCACATATAAATAGTTTTTTTATATAATTAGCATAAAAATATATTATCATAAAGTAAACTATAAAATTTATTTTTTTTCATATTTTTAATAGAAAAATTATTTGCTATTTTATATTGTTTAACTAGGCTAATTTAATTTAATTATTTTATAATTGATATGAGATTGAATTATTTTTAAAAAAATTATTTATACACATACAAAATGTTTGTCTCACAAATAGTTTTTAAATAAAATTATATTAATATTTAAATCATCAAGTGAATGATAAATAATAAATATATTCTAAATATTTTATAAATTTTACAATCATGTAATGTTACAGTAAACTTAGTATTTATTGATAATATTTAAATTTAAAATAATATTTTCTTATACAACATATGTATTACAAATACAATTATAATTTATTGAATCTGAATAATATTAGTCTTATCATTTATTTATATTCAAAGAAGTTCTTGAAAAGATATAAAATATAAAAATATTTTTAATTCTTATTTATGTTTTTACTAAGTTTATTATATATTTTTATTACAATTTACCTGTTAAATATTTTTTTTATATACACATATATTTTTTTATTAAAAGATTTTATTGTGGTCGTTTATCTTTTATTCAAATTATTTTTTCTTTAATTTATATACATTATAAATATTTAATTCATTAAAATTATCTTTTAAATAAATTTTACTTTTATCAAAATACTCCTGTGCACAGCTTAAATACTAGTATTAATATATACATCATTAATTAATTATATTATTTCAGATTCAAAAATTAAAAAGAAAAAGATGTGTTATGTGTGTTGTCGTTTAGCTCGCTCCTTTCCTAACTCTTGTAACGCCCCGAACTTTGTAATATTAATTATGGATAATTATATAAATCTAAATGTACATTCATGTGTGTATTTTTTTAGATATATGTTGTGAATATGTATGTGTATATATATATATATGTGTGTGTGTGTGTATGCATGACTGGTTGGGCTGAAATGGGCTAAGTGCCTAAGTATAGGGCGAGATACTGGATTGTTCTTGCTGCAGCGAGAGAGCCTTAGGAGGAAGAACTGAAACTGTCCCTTTCTCGTTGTAGCGAGAGAGCGACAGTTTGGGGTGCATTTCTGGGTACAGTCTCGCTGTAGCGAGAGGGCGTGTCGCTGCAACGAGAATATCTCGCTGTAGCGATAGTGTCGCGACCAGAAAATGATTTAAAGGAGGTTAGGATTCGGGGAGAGTTATTTCTCCCTCTCCCTTCAAAATTCCTTTGATCCTCTCATTCCCAAAGCCCTATTCCACCAATTAATTGCCTCCAAAGTCGTTTGAGGAGCGAGATTGGAGCTCGAATTTGTGTGGGGAACGCTTGGAGGTGAGTTTTAAACGGTTAGGGTTTTCGTTTTCCTTCCCTTTCTCTGTTCTTGGTGATTTTCGGAGTTCTCATGGAATTCTTCCATGTGTTTAGGCGAAAGTCGTGTGAGGAGCATTTCCGTAGTTGAGTTCGGACATGGGTCTTCAATCTGATATGTGATTTACTGTTATTTAGTTGAATATTGTGATGTGACTGACTAGAGGATAGGAAATTACTGTGAAATATGATATGGGTCATGTGCCGTGATATATGAATATTATGTGTATGGATGAGGGAATATGTGGTTGATGGAATTTTGCTATGTATTGCGGTGTGTGAACAAATGTGGGCCTGAGGACCGTGTAATATAGATGAATGTCGGCTATGTGCCGTGTATTTGAATGCAATGTGGGTTGTGTGCCGTGTGTAAGCATGATTATTGCATGCATAAATGGAATATGTGTGAATGGGCGTATTAGCGCTGTTGTAATATGTTGTGAATGGTTTAGCGATACATTGGGGGTGTGGGAGATGAGGACGGTAGAAATACCTTGGGGAAGAGGGAGTGGTGGTGACACCGACTGTGGAACGGGTGCACCACAGGCTACACACTCTCTTCCTGACTAGACCTCTGACCATTACCTTTGTTGAGCGACTCGTGACTGCCCACGCGGTATCCGTGAGGTGGGGTAACCAGCGACCATTCATGGTATAAATCTGTGATTACAGTACTGCAGTGAGTGTGGCTATTGTGCGTATGCATGAGTTTGTGTATTGTGCTTGTGGGTGTGATAATGTTGTTTGTACTTACATCTGTATAAATGTATTAGAAATGAGTTAGAGGTGAGACTCTATGCTTGATTATGGTTTAGTAGTGTAGAGTACTCACCCTTACATTTATTTTTCAGGTAATCAAGACGATCAGCACCGGACTCAGTGAAGGGGTGAATGGAACTGCTATAGGACTTAGGATATTGTTTTGAAAAACTGTTGTATTTGAATAAGTCCTGTAGCAACTGTTTGATATAATTTGTAACCCTTTTTCTATTTGAAATGGTTAATGAAACTTGAATTAAGAATAGAAATTTTATTATTTCAAAAATTTGTAAAATTTCTTATTTCTTGAAATTAAATTTAACGTGTTACAACTCTACTCTCATTTTTAATGTCTGCATCATTCAAACATATTGTAGCAATTATGAATCCCCAAAGCTAGTTACTGAAACCGCCACATGATGTCACCCAGTGATTTCACATAAGGGGCCACCTATTGTACAAATCCATCTCGTCATTGCATAATTCAGTGTTGTCATCGTTCGATTGGATGTCGTGCGAGACATGGTCATCGCTGACAAATAACCTGTGTATTCCTTGATTTATAAGTACTTTGAGTTTATTAAATTATTGAATTAAGATATGTTTAGCACTTATGATTTTTGAATATTTGTTTTCTATCTATTCTTGGACTTTATTCGACAACTAAATATTGAATTTTTGTATTATTATGCTACTTATGTGAAGTTATATAATAACACTTTTCTTTATTAGTGTTTTTTGTTTCTTAGACAAGCACAAGTAATAGATACGAGTATGGGTATGTGAGTATCCAGAGGGTACAAGCACCTTTCTTAGCCCTACTCTCATTTTCAATGTTTGCATCATTCAAACATATTGTAGCAATTATGAATCCCCAGAGCTAGTTACTGAAACCGCCACATGATGTCACCCAATGATTTCACATGAGAGGCCACCTATTGTACAAATCCATCTCGTCATTGCACAATTCAATGTTGTCATCGTTCGATTGCATGTCATGCGAGGAGACATGGTCATCGCTGACAAATAACCTATGTATTTAATTCCACTTATGATTTATAAGTACTTTGAGTTTATAAAATTATTGTATTAAGATATGTGTGACACTTATGATTTTTGAATATTTATTTTCTATCTATTATTGAACTTTATTCGATAACTAAATATTAAATTTTTATATTATTATGTTACTTATATGAAGTTATATAAGCATATTTTTCTTTATTAGTTTTTTTTTTTCCTTAGGCAGCATGAGTAATAGATATGGTTATGGGTATGTGGATATCCAGAGAGTACAAGTACAGAGATTAAAGCTACTACCCACGTGAGTATGTGGTAGGTATGAATAATTTTTTAAAATGCAGATATGGAGATAGATACTATATTACCCTACTTATACCCTACCCATTATTATTCCTAATGATTAGACTAAAAATAATTCTATTTATGTGAGTTCTTAAACCTAAATTTATCTTAAGAGATTCTGTTAAAATCATAGAGGTTCATAGAAGTTCATCTCACATTATGAATCAATTCAAAAGAACAGTATGCAACGCATTTTAGAACAATTACTTCTAACATTATTTTTATTTATTTTTATGATTATAGGTTGCTTTTACAACATATGCATGGAAATAAAACAAGCAACAAAGAAGTTTTTAATCCACAATTCTTTACATAACTATGACACACACCCAAAATTAGACAACAATAAAATAGTAGCCGTAAATCATGTCAATATTAATGAATGATAATAACAATCCAAACATTCTCATACTACCAAGTCAATATGATCATCAGTCGTAATCATGTCATACATTGCTTGCGTTTCCAATTTTCTTATATCCTTCCATAAAGAGTTCATTAATTCTCTTTTACTGTTAGATGAGTTGTTGGAGTTATGTACCCATAGTCCAAGGTTTCCTACTACAATTTCATTCTCATTTCTACACAATATGCATAAATCATTCCAAAGATAAATACTTCAACCTATGTTGCACATATATTGGGCACATGATATATCAATTTTGAAAAAAATAGAGTACAAGTACATTATATAATTTTTAAAAATATTTATATATATAATAAAATATTATATAAATAAAATCATAAATTTATCCATTATATATAACCTAAAAAAATCAAATTGTTATGACTGATAAAATAATTTACAATAAAAAATTAAATATTATCATCAAGTTTCACAATAAATAAATTTAACTATGTAATTATTTGATAGTGTTAATCCCATTATTTTCTTACTCGTCAGTAGTAATATTAAGTTCATATTCTTGTAAGGGAAGAGCCATTTAAGATAAACTTTTCTATTCAACTTGCCTACACTGCTAAAATTCCTTTCAACTTAAGCTTTAGATTATTTTCTATAAGAACACCAACGTTCCATGGATTCTCAACAGCTTATGACACCAAAAGACTTCTATCCAAATAATGCTTACTTTCTCTATAGTCAAGATACTAAACAACTTTTTTAATCTACACCTATGCTGATACATGTATTCACATATGATAGTTTACTTATTATTAAAGATATTCATATCTAAGTTGCTATCTATAATTAGCACAATAATTAATACTTTTTTTATTCTTTTTAAATTATTATTTTCTAAAGTTATGTTTTAATGACTACAACATCTTTTAATTCTTTTAGATAAATATACCACACACACCCTTTTACTAATACATAGCTTTAGCCACTTTACGCCTATATCAACATTATCCCTACCTAATAACCTTTGAAAGGAACATTGTTACATTATCTTTTTCTGATATGTGATGTAGCCAAAAAGCAAGTTCAAGATTAAGTGTTCTTCTTGACTATTGAGTTCACTGTAGAGTAAATTGTGTCCAGAGTTATTCTTAGTCGGTTTCCAGTTTCTTCTTCAAATAGAACTAGAATGTTCCCATTGGATTTCAAGAAAGATCGAGGTATGTGGTACCTGAATACAGAAAAGGTTCAGCTCTAAGTAATTGAAAGCTAAACATGTAGTACAAGGGAGACTAATATTAATATTAAGTATTTTAATAGTGGAAATTACACATCAGAAAAAAGTGAGAAAAGCCAAACTGAGAATAATAAGATGGATCTATTACTACGTGAGAAAGAATTATAAGATATAAAATTATATATATATATATATATATATATATATATATATAAAACATTTCAACTGAGAGGAGTTTGTTATTATAGGAGGTGAGAGACATTAATAATGGCCATTAGATCAAAATAAAGAGCTTAGATTTAATGTTGCTACCTCACTATCCACTTTCTACTCTCTCTTGCCAATGACCATTATTAATGCCTCTCAACTCTCACCTCTCCTTGAAAATAGTATCTATAAAGAAACGAATAATAAAAAATTGATTAAAGTGGTTTACACATATACTTTGGAGTCATTAATGAAGAAGTGAATCATATGCATTTTATCCTTTGAGGTAAAAGAAAATTGAGAGGAACTTTAAAAAAAAACTTATTCAATTTTTTTAATAAAAAATAATATCTTTAAAAAATTTATTTTTTGAATAAGTTTAGTGTGTTATGTTATATAATTGACATCAACTTATGAAATAAAAACTTTTGTTATTATTGTTGTTCTTACATAAATTACTTCAAGGAAAGAAGAAAAATTAGAACAAATATTTTTTTTTTAAGAAAAGAAACTTAAATAAATGTTGTTTTATTTGAAGTGTTACGTACTTTGGAGGAATCATTTTTTAGAGATGTTTAGGTGCACAACTTAGAATGAGATGAATCTTTAGGATCTCGAGGAGTGTTGAGATCGAAGAAGAAGAAAGGATGTTAGAGAAGAGTGATTTGCATTGTTCTACCAAATGGGTGTGAAAGGGGAGTGGAGGTTCACAGTAGGTGGACACTTGTGACGGCTCAACGAAGAAAATCTCAAACAAAATTTAACAGTTACGTTAATCGTATACAAACGTTACTGACATTTTTCTTTACAAATTTTCTGGAGAATCATAAATGGGAGATATTCCAGAGGTATGGGAAGGTTGAGGATTTGTTAATTCTGAAGAAACGGGGTAAAGATAGATGTAGAAAAGATGAAAAAAAAATAGTTCTAAAGTAATTGTTAAGATTTGAGATGAAAAGAAAAAATTAATATAAAAATAAAAATTTAAAAGTGGTTAAGTTAAGATTTGAGAACTTTAAATTTATAAATAAAAATATGGTGTAAAAACTCAATATAAAAAGAGAATTCAAAAACTAGTTAATAATTTGAGAATTTTTTAAAATAAAATACATGCTAAACAGAATTAAATTAATATATTAGTCTATTAACTTTTGTGTTTTTTCAACTTCAACCAATAACTTCTTTTTTTCATATGTCTCATATATTGTATATATATTTTAAGTTAGTCATCTCTGTTAAATTTGACTGATAGTGTTATTAACATTGTTAATGATATTACTAACTTTGTTTATGTAGAATTACATGTGTAATGAGATAATATTATGTGATATTTTTCTTTAAAATGATGTGATTATCCTCATACAAATATACAAAAGAAGCACATATTAAAGGAAAAAAGTGGTGATAATACCAGAGTTGAAGGTATCAGAAACTATACTCACAATATAGGCACCACCACCAACAGCCCTACAAGCATAATGATGCTAACAAAAACATGATTCATAAGTTAGGGCACCAGAATTTACTTCCAAATGAATGAAAGATGATCCTAATCTCCAAAGTAATAATGAGGAAGTCTAAGGCAAACAACACCAATGATAATATGAATGTTGTAAAGCTGGCTAAAGTTGTTAGTGAGTCACCACCCCTAATGGAAGCATAAAGCTAAAAGAGGAAGGGAATGAAGAAGAGGAAGAGCAGGCGTTGAAGGAAGCAAGAGAAGAGAGAATGAGGGAGTAATGGGAAGCAAGGTGAAAAAGAAAGATTCTGGAAGAGTAAATGAAAGATGTGGATGTAACTCTCAAGGGGACCAAGAATAAAGCTATCATGTGGAACCTCTTCTCCATGGTATCTTGATTTGTGTTTCTCCTTGAAGTAGGAAATATGAGGAAGGGAAAAGAGCCCGTAAGAGGAGGGTTAAAGGTGAAGTATGGTTATGAAAGTCCAGGAGAAGATGTAACAGACAAGATGATCTTACAGAAGATAACTTAGAACAAATATAAAACATACAAGACCTATATGAGGAAAACAAAAAAAAGTCACCAATCAAAGTCTAAATAAACACAAGAATATGATAAAGTTGTACGTTACAAAAAAAAAATACAATATAGAAATATCCTCATATTTAAGAATAATACTTCAATTTTATATCATGAGTTGACATAAATAATATTAAATTAAATTAAAAAAGCTTGTAGCTAAATAATTTTTTCATAATTTATTTTTTGGATCCTTGAGATCGTAATATTTCCTTTCTCTTAGTAAGTTTACCTTTGTTGTATTTTGTTGCAAATTAATTTAGAGGCTGATAAACATAAAAAGAAAATGAAATGTGGCTCAAGGAACATACCATTGCTGTGTTGGATTCCCCTTTGGTGTGTGGAAAGATACCCAATAACGGCCAATGTTTTGGCCATTAACCCAAGCTTGACCCTTTCCCATTGAACTAAGGTCAAGTGCTACAGGATCGTTTCCTGCTGGTGCATCGAATGTTGTCTGTCAATCAACACACGGATATAAAAGATTAGTGAAGTGTTTAAGTAAAAAAGTTTGGGTTTCGCAAACTAATAATGTCTTAAGACATTCGTTAAGAAATAGAAAATGATAATTTTTATTAAGAATTATATTTGTTTGCAATAAAAATAGAAGTATCTTTATTATGTTTTCTGACAAAAAAAAATTGCTTTTGGTTCCTTCACTAATACCTTTAGATTACTGGTTAATATTTATCAAAAAGTTTTACCAAAATTATGAATATTGTGACGGTGAAGTACTTAATTAACACAATTGTCTCTCTCCCGTAATAGTAGATTAGTATAAGAAAATATAAGAAAATGTTTTTTGATTTAATATTTTTAATTACAATTTTGTTATTATATTTTCTTTTGCAAAGATTTGTATAGAAAATTAAAAATTATTTTTTAATGCAATTTTCTATAAAAACTTTTAAAAAGAAGAAATAAAAATTAATTAAGACCCTTTAAACTACTAAAAAAATATTAACGTCATTCAAGTTTATTAACGGAAAAAGTATTTTCTCGATTAATTGTTTTATAACTGATATAAAAGTGAAAAAAAATTTATATCAATTGTATAAACTTGTTACGTCGGCCATTTTTATATGCTGATGTTATTTTTTTTATTTTTTATCTAGTTAAATTTAAAGGGGTCCCTAAATATAGTGAGTGAATCTACCGTTGAAGTTTTTACAAAGACTCGAATCTAAAATTTTGTTTAAGTGATATTAAGCACTTGCTACTAGGTTAATGTTAAATATCCTTTTAAACTAATATTAAAAGTAATTTTTGCATTAATGTTGGCTCATTTAATCTTTCTTCTTTTTAAAAGTAGTTATTATAATTAGTTTCAATAGAATTTCAGTATTATTTGTTTTTCTCGTAAAAACAGTAATTTTATTTTTAATTGCTCTTCTAAAATTGAGTTTGGAAGTAAAGGATATTAGGAAAATTATCAAAAAAGTTGAACCAAACACTAATATGGTAAAAATTATAAATAAGCTTTCCCTTTATAAGAGTTTGTAAAATAAGTATTTAATTAACAAACTAGTCCTTATTTGGATTTCTTGGAAAGTTTTTTATGTACTTTGGAGGCATTAAGTGAACGAAAAATTTTACAATAATAATGTACCTGATACCATGTGAGTGGATTAGTAGAGTTTCCAAGACTTTTCCACTGAACTTTACTTGATCCAATAGCTGTATATATTTGCAATTTTTCTCCTAGCAATCCAACCTTCATTAAAATTTTTAACGTGAGCATGTAGTTAGCCCAAATGGTTAACTGTTGAAGTAATATAGAGGTCAAAGATTCACCATAATATATACCTAGTTCAAAATTGAAACACAAATCTCCCAAAATTCAAAATTTAAGCTACAATTTTTAAATATGCTTAAATTTAACGAAATTTCTTCTGGGGTGAACAGCCACTAGAAAAGGATAATGCAATGAAAACTAGTTTCTGATAATTATATCATAGAAGGTATATCCAGATGGTTTATGATTAAAAAACACATTTGAGATCTCATTTAAATGCAGTCTACCATGTCAGTATCTCATATTCATAGGTTAGAGTAATCACCTGATATCCCCATGATTGATGAGTGAGATCTCTGCCATCAATTGTGACCTTATACAAACCAGCTGCTCTGCGCTCTAGATGTGCTCCCGAATCCTTCATGTATAAATAAATGCACATTTCATGTAAGCCTGTGTCTTCATGAGGCTATTCATATTTTCTAATATTTGTTTTGATGATCTTAAGTAATTTTGATGAAAAGGAAATGCCTAGTATCTACTTTTTCAATAATATCAAGGTGCTTCATTATATTAGCATTAAGTTCTTCCTATGATATTAAATCTTTGAGAGAAGATATATATTAAATGAAATAGTCATGTATATTACTTGTAAGTTGTAACATCACTTTTAGAATGGGCAAAGGCTCATTAGGATTTCAATGTGTAATGTTTATAAGCTTTCTTTTGCTTGTTGATGATGAATGAAACATGTAAGTGTAAACAGCAGAGACGAATACCGGCAATCCAACTGTTGCACTGAGTAAGGAAATATTGTTCTCCCCTTCTCTCAAATTGATCTTGATCTCCATGTTGAAATTTGAATTTTTGTGACTGCCATGTGCTGAACCTAGAGTCGATATCAGGACATAGCTCACATTTTACTTTCTCAATTTATGATATATATATATATATATATATGAAAGATAAAGTAAATCATTAATGTTTTGAAGATAAAAAAAAAAAGTTGTGTCATAATCACAATTACCTACTAATACTTCGTTGACAAATGCATGCAGAACATGTCCTCTGCTGAATACACTAAGAACTGACTGAGCATTAAGAGAGTTAGTATCTATTCTGCATCAGCCATATTGACAAGAAGCATTTTAGTAAAGAGTAAAGCAATTTTGATACAAATAAATATTTAAATGTGACTGATATAACTACTTATTGTGCTATTTTACCTGTAAGTATACCATAGATAGTCAGAAGTATCTTTCGCGGAGCTGATTTGATCCAATATCTTGTTTTCTCTTAATGAAGTATCATCATAGTTGGGGATGGCTTCATTGTACACTTTCCACTTTTCAGATGAACTGAACTTTGACTGTGACATCATTGTTCTGGTATTATGTGGTACGCTTACCTACAAGAGTAGCATAAAGATAAGAAGTGTCTTTCACAAGCATCATTGTATTTGTGTTAAGTCATTAAACTTGAAGAAATGGTAGCTGGAAGATGAAAGGATCACAAGAAGCTTCTTTGTGTCAGTGTTTTCTTAAAAGTAATGACATAATAGGTATTAAGCATTTCATTCTTACCTTGGCTGTGTTGAAGGCCACATTTTTGCAGTCAGGTAGGATACTGAATGATTGAGGGGGTAACTGATATGTAACATTTTGAAATTGGACTGTGGCTTCTCTATTAGCACTATTTTCCAACAAGGCTGCACATTCTGTTGCATTCCTTTTGAAAACATAAGCCTGAAGTAGAGGGAAGGTAAAGATTAATTTCTTTTTTTCACAAGATTCAGCTACTTTATAAATTCCAAGTACCCTAGTGAATTTTGTTTATCTAAGGTTGTTTACCTTGAGCCAAAATGTATTTTCTACACTTCAAAGGGTCAGTTCCATAGTTTAAGAGCGTAGTTAAAGTTCTATTAGTTTTCTTACTTGTTGTCTACCCAAGTTGAATGGAGTTTGTGTACCATACAGTAAAGTCTCCGAACATGCCTTAATTGCAGCATGTAGTTCCCTTAGATGCCCCCATTTTGGTTGCCTAACCAAACCTGATTACATCAACATAGCTAATCACACTGTGATTCAATATTTTGAAAATAATCAGATTGAGAAAGAAAAGGAACGTACCATATTCATCTAATGGGGCATCATCATAATATGCTGTTGTTACAAAAGCAGAAGCTGTTCTGTCAAAGTTGGTTCCTCCATGGTACTGCATCAAATCAGCGAACATGGGAATATCAGAAGAAAAAAGTGGTGTATTATTTAGTTGTGTGAAAAATATACCTTCGTACGTGCTTAAGAAAAAGAAAATAGAAAAGATAATGAGAAAAATAGCTACAACTAAAATAAGATATAACAAAGATTAACACTACCATGTAGTAGTTGACATAGCTTCCGTTTTTTGCAATGAACAAGGCAACATTATATGCAATGTCTTCCGCTGATCTCAAGCGTGTCTCTTCACCAAAGGCTGGATATCTACAAATTTTGAAGTAAAATGAAGGTAAATTAAAGAAGCTATGATGATTGATGGCTCATATTTTTTATATAAATTTTGGTTTGAAAATTATAATGCAGATTTCCTCAATAACATACCGAGATGTCCAATTCTCTGTCCATAGTGATGGCTTGTTAAGTGAGTTAGGCCTTGCAAATGTTTTCCCGCATCTCAGACCATTGCATGTGTTGATCTGTGCAGATTACATGACATAATTAATACATATTATAACATTAGATCTTATTGTGTGTTATGAATCAAGGGTATGTTGTGCTTGATAAGAATGAAAATTAGCAAAATAAGAAGACATTTCTTGGATCTATATTCATTTTAAAGTTCCGATTCACTTAACATTTTGCACACTGTTTACCTAAAATAAATTTAGCTAGGTTTATCATGTTTTTTATTTTAACTTAAGAGAATGCTTTCACAAATCGTTTCTTTGTCTCAAAAACTCATCTCCCAATGAAATAGAGGGAACAATTCAATCCCCTTATCCATTATAATTCACCTTTTGTTAGATGAATAATTAACCATCTTCAATATTTTGTAATATCTTATGTTAGGTAATTAAGAGTCTATTAGGATATAGATCTTTAAAATATAAATCTTGAATTTTTTAGTGTTGAATGTGTGTAAACATTTAACTTTATTTTATAAAAATATTTTAAATGAATAATTTGAATATTCATCCATAAAAAATAGTTATTAATAGATCAGTTTGAGGGATTTTTATCAAACAGGTTATGGATATATTAGGTTTTTTTTTAAACACATTTTTAGTGAATCAAAATGAATTAGTAACTTCTTTTCTACCTATTCATTATAATTAGTTTTCAAAATTTATTCAATTCATCATTTGACACCCCCTTCCACAGAGCTATAGTAGGCCACATTAGATGTACATGTTAGGTTAATTTACTGTGCAGCTGATCCAATTAACCGAAACAAGTATTATCTTCTATTATGCAAGCAATGGAGGAAAACACTATTCCAGCAATTAGCAATATCCGTCAATTTAATCTTTAATGTCATGAAATCAATCAATTTATTTCTTAACTTCAATAACATCAGAGACCAAATTTAGTGACGAGTACCAACATTATGGACCAAATTGACTAAATATTGTCAGTCAAGGATTAATTTGATTTTTTTTTTCTAATATCAATTTCAAGGGACCAATACAGTACTTCATCTGATTTTTTTATTAAAAAAAATAAATTACTAAAACTAAGAAAAACAAATAAATTAGTTGTTTTTTCATAAAAATAAATTTTATTTTAAAAATACTTATGATATTAAATGATGTAGTTAGTGATTTATATATTTAATAACACTAATAAAATAAATATATAAAAAGAATTTATCAATTAATACATCTTAAATCTATTGAATATTTTTTATAATTAATATCAAGAAAAGACTATTTTGTTCCTTATAAAAAAATTGAAGGAAATATTTTTTAAAATAATAAGAATAAATTGATCAATAAAATCAATTTTAGGAACCCAATAGTGTAGTTCTTCAAATAGTTAGTATTTAAAAAGAAAACTAAGTCTCATTTTAGTCTTTAATATTTTAAAAATTCTCATTTCATAAAATCAGGAATCAAAATAATCATCCTACAATTTGATAAACTAAATGGATATTTACTGAACACTGTTTAACTTAGTGAGAAAGCATATTCCAGATTTTCAACATTGTTGCGTGTAACACTTGATGCATCCATGGAAAGGAAAATAAGTGATAAAAACTAACCACAGGATCAGGAGCATCATCTTGCTTGCACATGATCCAAGGCACCCCAGTTTGGAGTCCCACGGCCATTTGTGCAGCCCAATGAATATAACTGACTCCACTCTCATGAAACGCCCTTTCAACAGTACCATACTCGTTCTCAATCTGTGATAGTATGATGGGCCCTCCTTGTGAAGCATAAAGATTGGCTAATTTCATCATGTTTACCATTTTGGCAGTGAAGTTTTGCATTTGAAGCTGCCATAAATAACATGAACAATTACTATGAACCAGTTTTTGAGTCTCCCATTATTCCATAAATAAAGGATTAACCCTATTATTGTAAAATTGAAAACCCAATAGTGGAGAAAAAATTGTATGTATATTTCTCACACATTTGTCAAATAATACAATGATCAATTTATAAGATAAAAGATTTAAATTCTATTAATAGCCATAAACTACAATCAAAACTCATTATAGCTATTTATAAAAAACATAACTGCTGACTCTTGACCTTTTATTCTAATAAAAAACTGCTAAATTAAAACCATTAAAACCGACATTTAAGTTTATTCAACAAAATTTCTCCGTAAACTTAAATGCTTCTGCCATCCTTCATGCCGATCAATTTCTTGCAGTTGTCGAAAAGTACTGTCGGTAGCAGTTTCGTAAAAATATCTGCGACTTGATCTCGACTTGCCACATGCACTAATTCCACATTTCCTTCTTTTACATGATCTCGGATGAAATGAAAGTGAATGTCAATGTGTTTGCTTCTCTCTTGATTCACTGGGTTCTTTGCCAATTCAATTGCTGATTTATTGTCAACTCGTATCACAGTCGCACCGATTTGTTGTTGCTCCAATTTGCCCAATAGATTTCTGAGCCATATTGCATGACATACACACCCAGATGCTGCCACATATTCAGCTTCACATATTGAGAGCGTCACGATTGGTTGCTTCTTTGAAAGCCAAGTAAAAGTCGTGTTACTCATAAAGAACACATACCTTGATGTACTTTTCCAATCGTCAAAGTCTCCGCACCAGTCACTGTCAGAGTACCCAATTAACTTGTAATCTTCAGCTTTCGAATAGAATAACCCTAATGATACCGTTCCTTGGATATACCTTAAAATCTACTGCAACGCCTTCCAATGTGGATAAACTGGCTCCTCCATGAACCGACTTACACTGCCAACACTTAACAAAAGGTCTGGTCTGGTGCATGTGAGATAGCGAAGGCTTCCCACCAAACTTCGATATTTGCTCGCATCAACTCATTCTCCTCCATCGAATTTAGAGAGTTTTTCACCCGGTTCCATTGGTGTTGATACAGGATTGCAATGTGTCATCTTGTATTTTTTCAAAATCTCCTTTGCATATATTTCCTGTGACACAAAAATACCCGTCTCTTCTTGTCTTACCTCCAAACCAAGGAAAAACTTCATCAAGCCCAAATTTGTCATCTCGAATTTCCGTGTCATTGTGCTCTTAAACTCTTGTATCATTTCACCATTGTTCCCCATAAAAATGAAGTCATCAACATAAAGGGCAACAAATATTTTCTCCACTCTTCTTCACGTAAAGGGCATGTTCATAGGGACATTGCTCAAACCTGTTCTCCTTGAAGTATGTATCAATGCGAGAATTCCATGCCCACGGTGCTTGCTTCAACCCATAAAGTGTCTTCTTCAATTTCAGCACCTTCTTCTCTTTTCCACTTTTCATGTACCTATGTGGTTGTTCGATGTAGACTTCTTCTTCGAGCACTCCATTCAAGAATGCCGACTTGACATCCATTTGAAATATCGGCCAATTGAATTGAGCCGCTTGTGAAATGAGCAATCGGATTGTCTCCATTCTTGTAACGGGAGCAAATACCTCATCATAGTCAATTCCCTCCTTTTGCTTATATCCCTTTGCAACAAGCTGCACCTTGTACCGTTCTATCTCGCCTTGAGCATTCATCTTTCTCTTGAACACCCACTTCACACCAATGGGTTGACTTCCTTTCGGCAACTCTGCTAACTCCCATGTGTTGTTGCGGTCAATTGCTCTAATCTCCTCGTCCATGGCAGTTTGCCACGTCTTGTCTCGCACCGCCTCTTCAAAGCTTATATTCTCAGAATCTACCAAAAGACATACAATGTGTACCTCATTTGTCGAATCATACAAATCTTGCAAACTTTGCATTCTGGGTTGTTGCAGTTCATCTTCATCACTAGTAATTTTAGGATTTGTTGGTATGATTGTTGGTATAGCGGTTGATGATTCTCCATCTTCGTTGATAACTTCCATTGAGTTACTCTAATACCACTCGCTTGCTTCATTAACTTGTACATCACGACTCACCACAACCTGCTTGCTTATTGGGTCTAGTAGCTTGTATCCTTTTGTTTTGTTGTCATACCCAATAAAAACATACCCTTTGCTTTTGTCTTCAAGTTTCGTTCTATGCTGATTCGGCACGTGTACATAGGCCACACTACCAAATAATTTGAGATGAGAAACTGTTGGTTTTTGTCCGCTCCATGCCTCTTGTGGTGTTTGATCATCCAGCTTCGCATGTGGACACCGATTTTGCACATAGATAGCGCATTGTACGGCTTCTGCCCAAAATTCCTTCGGCATCTTCTTGCTCTTAAGCATTGATCGAACCATATCAAGAATAGTCCGGTCCTTCCTCTCAGCCACACTGTTTTGTTAGGGTGAGTACGGTGCAGCTAGAAATCGCCTTATGCCATGCGCCTCACAATACTCCATGAAAGTCATCGAACTATACTCGCCACCTCTATCGGATCGTACTGATTTGATGTGTCTACCAATTGCTTTTTCCACCACCACTTTGAACTTTTTGAACACCTCAAATGCCTCAAATTTTTCTTTCAAAAAATAAACCTAAGTTTTTCGTGAAAAATCATCAATAAAGGAAATAAAATATCTTTTACCGCTAAAAGATTCAGGAGTGATTGGTCCACATATGTCAGTATGAATCAATTTGAGAGGTTCCTTAGCACGATATTCTGCCTTCTTTTAAAATGAAGTTCTCGCATGCTTGCTGAGCACACATTCTTCACAAAATTTGTTCTCATAGTCCATGTCCGGTAGTCCGTGCACCATGTTCATCTTTGCCAACTTGTTTAGACCACCATGATGGAGGTAACCAAAACGGAGATGCCACAGCAACGCCTTGTCTTCTACATTGACTCGCAAACATTTTTCTCGAACGCTTCTCAAATTCAACTTAAACATGCGATTTCTCCCCATTTCAACTCGAGCAACCAAATCCCCGTGTTTATCTTTCAAGTGTAATATCTGGTCTTTCATAAATACCGAATATCCTTTCTCCATGAGTTGTCCCATACTCAAAATGTTGCTCTTGAGATCTGGTACGTAATATACATCTTGGATTAATCCAACTAAGCCATCCTTTTGTAAATAACAAACTGTACCTTGGCCTTTGAGTTCAACCTTCAACGCATCTCCAAATGACACATGTCCAGTTTCAACCTTTTGCATCTCTTTGAATAGGTGCTTGTACCCGCATATATGATTGCTTGTGCCCGTGTCAAGGTACCACACTGTGTTGTTATTGGTGTTGACTTCATTGTGTGCCATCAAGAGAAAACCTTCTTTTGCTTCCACATCTTCCGTGACTAAATTGGTTGTCTCTTCCATCTTTTTCTCGACCCAACATTCTTTCGCAAAATGCCCCACCTTGCCACAATTGTAACACTTATCGAAGTTACAATCCTTCGCATAGTGACCATATTTGCCACACTTGTAGCACTCAATGTTGGAATAATTCGATCTACTACCTCTCCAACGTCCACGTCCTCTTCCATGCCAATTTTGCTGGTTTGAATGTTCTTTCTCCTCGTAATATTCTTCTTGACCGCGACCTCTACCACCACGACCATTTCCTCGACTTCCACGCCCTCTACCTCGAATGTTTTGAGAATAGAGTGCCTTTTCGTCTTTGATTGATGCCTTGGTTTGAAGTGCTTGCTCAAGTATCTCCTCCTTCTTCTTCTTCTTACGTTGTTCGTGTGCCTCGAGAGAACCAGCGAGCTCGTCGACTGTGAGTATTGTTAGGTCTTTTGACTCTTTTATAACACATACGACATTCTCAAAGTTGTCGGTTAACGACCTCAAAATCTTCTCCACAACTCGTGCATCAGTTAAAACTTCTCCGTTTCGGTTGAGTTGGTTCACCACAGTTTGAACACGCATGATGTAGTCAGAGACCCCTTCCTACTCTTTCATCTTCATGCTTTCCAACTCACCACAAAGAGTTTGAAGGCGGACTTGTTTAACCCGGTTAGCTCCTTTGTACACATTCGCCAAAATGTCCCACGCTTCTTTTGAATTTGTTGCATTCGCAATCTTCTCAAAGCCTGACTCATCAACAGCTCGAAACAATAAGTACAAAGCTGCCTTATCTTTTGATCGCGTCTCTTTCAACGCCTTGTGTTGAGCTGCCGAATATCCTGTGGTAGTTTCTGATTCTTTGAAACCTTCTTCGACCACCTCCCAACCATCTTGTGACTCAAGAAGAGCTTTCATTTGGATGCTCTAATTCTCGTAGTTCGCCTTTATTAGTCGAGGCAGCGGCACATTATTGGTCACACTCGCCATAGGCTCTTGATACCAAATTGTAGAATTGAAAACCCGATAGAGGAGAAAAAATTGTATGTATATTTCTCACACATTTGTCAAATAATACAATGATCAATTTATAAGATAAAAGATTTAAATTCTATTAATAGCCATAAACTACAATCAAAACTCATTATAGCTATTTATAAAAAATATAACTACTGACTCTTGACTTTTTATTCTAACAAAAAATTGCTGAATTAAAACCATTAAAACCGACATTTAAGTTTATTCAATGATTATAACGTCCCTTGAATACCTTGAATGGCTCATTGTCTGATCTAAAAATAATGCCGGGAATATCATGCAACCAAAGTGGCAGACCCCTGCGCCAACAAACGAAACCATATAATAAATGGTGTTGTGTCTTTGTGTTAGAAAGGACTTGATGGGTAGATGAGTCTTACCCGTAAGTCCATTCACTCTCAATGAATGGTCCAATTCTGAGGGTCACATATAAACCCTGTGCTTGGATTTCCTTAATGAATCTCACTAAGTCACGCCGTCCCCTGAAATCATACTGCACAAGAAGGTTAAAACTCACAACCACAATTCTATTATTATTATTATTATCAAGCCAAAATAAAAATTGATGATTTATAAAAAAAATGGTGGAAAAGAGTTTATTGATGTTACCTGGCCTTGTAGCGGTTCGTGTAGGTTCCAAAACACGTAGGTTTGTATTACATCTAATCCTCCTTCCTTAGCTTTCGCAATTAAAGAAGGCCACATCTATCAAAACTAAACATCATGGTATAATGCAATGCGATTGGCAGTTCTGGGGATTCAAATCTTTTGTCCTGTTCTTTTTACTGTCTCATAATATAATTCTAGCAATTTAACAAAGTAACATGAACCTTAAAACTCAAATTGAAACCCAAAAATGTTCTATATCAAAAGACGAAAAAAAAAAGTGTTTCACTGGATTGAATTTTAGATGTAATTTTAAGAAATAATCTAATTCAATCCAAAGAAAAAAATTTCATATTAATGATATTATCATATTATTTATACATGTATGAGTACCTATTTGTGAAACACTATACTAGTTTGTTCCTCCGAACTCTTTTTCTCTAAAACTTATATATTAATATCTATACCATTTATTAAATTTGAATATTTACTCTTGCACAAGGTGATATTTAGGAGTATCAGCTTTCTTCACATAACTTTTTTAAAAATTTAAATATTTTATATCATTATTTATTTTTATTTTTTATTTCTTTCAATATTTTAAAAAAATTTAATATCATTATAGGTATTATAAATTTATGATATTAAATAAATTCCTCAATGATATCAAAATAGTCATTTATTGAATTATAAATTAAAATAAAATTATAAATATTAATATTTAAAAGAATAGTATGTTAAATATTTAAAAGACTAAATGTATAGTATACATCTTTGTAGAACTAAAAAAAGTTAAGTATAAATTTTTAATTAATAAATTTATTTATGTATATCTTTTTTTTTACATTTGTATTATTTTTACCTAGCCTCACAATTCTCTTTTATTAATAAATTTGAAATTTTTAATTAAATAAAAGTTTGCTTTATATTAATTTTTTCTATTCACTAATTAGTGTAATCAAAATAAATAATTTTCTTACTAAGTTTTACAAAATTAGAGCAAACAATTTTTTTTGATATTATTTTTATTAAGATTTATAAGGAAACAATTATACCGAAGAAAAAAATTAATAGAAATTATATTAATGTATATTTTTTTCTTCCTATTTAATATATATATATATATTATTTATTAAAATTTATTGTATTTCCTATAATTTTTTTCAAAATTATAAGTGACGATAATATATATATATATATATAATGTTTAAAAGATTAAAATAAAAAATTGGAAACATGTAGATAAAATAAATAAAGTAAATTTTTTTTAAAATTGAAAGTTAGAAATTAAAAAAATTAACATTACTGAATGTAAAGAGATAATATGTAACACTTCTCATAAAAGAATATTATATATATATATATATATATATATATATATATATATCATTATTCCAAGAGGTTAATTTCAAATCAACTAAGAAAATGTGACTTTTAACATTAAAATATGACGTATAAAAATTTAAATAGAGATATGTAATTTAATTTAATTTAAATATAAGTTATCTAAAAATTTAAAAATATTCAAGAATTTATTTCTGTAATAATTAGTATAAAAATTATATTTACAATTTTTAAATATTAAAAATAGATTAAAGTTAAAGTCTATATTATTATTATTATTATTATTATTAATTTAATTGCTCTTTATTGTTATTTTATATTTATTTTTAGTTTAACATAAAATATAAGCATGAATTGATAGCGTGTAATACCAGTCAATATTTTAGTTACATAGAAAATACATTATATTTATTAAATTTATATTGTATCGATTATAATAGTTAAAAATATTAGAACTGAAAATACAAAAATATGGCTTAAGAGAAATAATATTATTTTTGACAATAGTATAATAAATATTAATGAGATATTTAATTTTATTAAGTATTTTTTTTAAAAATAGTTTGCGGCATAACTTTTTTTGTAAATTAAATTAATAATTTTTTAATATGTATTATTAATTTTTTTAGAAATATAATGAGTCGAGGCTAACTTATTTTCAAGTTAAACATTCATAGTATACGGTAACAAATGCAAAATGAAGGAAACGGAAACTTACTCTGTATATTATGTATTTTTTTAAAAATTTTAAACAGTTACAAATTTTATAATTTTCCACGGGCTGGCGTAAGGGTGTAGGTAAGCGAAACCCTCGTTTGAGGCCTTTAAAAATAATTTTATTTATTAATAATATATATGATTATTTGATAAATAATATTAATTTAGTAAAAATAATTATTTTTATAAATTTTTATTTTATAATTTATTTTTTAAAATAAGAATTTAATTTAGATATACTGATAATTTTAAAAATATTATATTATTATTTTATCATTACTTGATAAATCAGAATTATTAATTTCTATAATAATTTAAATATAAATAATATCAAAGATGTATTATAACTGATTAGTTGCTTAAAAAAATTACTGACAATGCACAAAAATTAAACTTTTAAACTAAAAGGTTGTAGTCATTGATTAAAAGTTTGGTCAAAATTATAATTAAATACCTGCACATGTATAAGTAATTACATCATTATATAAATTTTAACTGTTTTTTTTTTTCTCAATCGATGACTATAATTTCACACTTCATTCGTTAAAATGGCAATTTAGAGAATACATAACCTCTCATTGCTCTTGTAAATAAGAAAAAATCAACAAAGTAAGGTTATAACAGAAAGAAGAAGATATATATATTGAATTGAACCTAAGATTTAATATAGTTGTTGTTATATTAGCAAATATATATACATATATATATATATATAGTTGTTGTTATAGCATTAAGATTTTATAATTAAAAAGTGTTGAGTAACCCTATTTTTTGGGATCATTCAAAGTTCACCCTATAATATAACTGCATTTGTTAAAACTCAAACTCTCACATATTAAATTAGAACAAATATCTACCTTTGAGGATACATAGTCATGAAAGATATTAAAATATCAACAAGATATTTTATTTACAAACAAATTATACAAGTATAATTAAATAGCACACTCAACCTAACACCTTAAAGTTGTTAAGTTCCGAGTCTTTATTTTTTATGTGTTATTCAATTTTGTTATTTTATTTAATGTAAAAAAAAATTTTATACATGTTACTTCAATAAAAAGCTCACATGATTAATCTAAAAAAATAAATAAACTTGAACTTTGACTTAAATAAAATATATATTTTAAATTTAAAAATATAATTTTATATCCAGCTAATTATTATTATAAAAATATTCCTTTCTCAGTTTTTTTAATTACAAGACTTTATCAATAATTTCCTTATTTGTGTTTTTAATTTTAGACTTTTTAAAAATAAATGTGATTTGATGACGTACTATTAAATAAGATATTTTTTTTACATTTAAAAAGTCACAAATCAGAATCCTTGTAATTAAAACTTAGCATGTTCACCGAACATCGTGTGACTCACTTTTTATCATCACAGAAAAGGTGTGTTTACATTATAACGATAATCTTCGTTCTCTTACGATGATATTTTTCTCCTCTATGCTAACATGCTTTGGGATATGCAGAAACTACATTCGTGAGAACAATGCGATAAAAATCTCTTGGGGGAAATGAATAATGCATTAAATTGCCTTAAAGCTCATGGTTTTTAAACATACTCAACACCTATTTGCTATATATTTAACAAAGACAATTCAACGAGAATGGTTTCATGATTATATCATAATTCTGATCATTTTGTATATCTGTCGTGGTTATGTTTCATAGTGCAACCGTTTGCTCCTAATTCCAATTCTAATAAAAATTTTAATGTCTAAACTTGAGGGAACTAGATCAAAAAGGAAAAAGAAAAATGATATGTAATAAGAAAGTACCTCAGGAGTACTACGAGGATAATGGATTGAACCAGAGAAGAGGATTCTATGTTGGTCATCAATGATCAAGGATCTTCTATCGTAAGTGACATTACCACCATGGGCAGTGCCAAAAGCCATCACAAGAAGTAGTGCAAAGGAAGACCACCACCCCATCAACACCTTCACTAAATCACCACCAAATCAAATCTTTTAACTTGGAAACTCTAATAAATAATGCTTCTCTACGCCAAGTTCTACTATGTCTCTCAAGAGGAGACTCTCTTTTTCACTAGTGTGTATTTGTCTATAATATAATTAGTGTATGTATGCGTTTTATATTTGAAGGGGTTGAAATATGTAATGAATTTGTTTCTCTCGGAATTGATTGCTATGAAATTTTCACTCATGGAAGATACATTATAAAAATGGCAAAAGATCAAGTTGTATTAATTTTGTTTATATTACAATCTACGTCAAAACAGTGTAAAGGCTAGTCATTAAAATTTTATTTAAAAAGATACTTATATGTGGGTTAAAATACATTATAATCATAATTCATAAAATATATAATAAATATAGTTTTATTTATTTACTTTAACAACATTAAGTTATAATACATATTTGATACGTATAATTGATATTGATTTATATATTAGTTTGTATATTTAAAAAATTTATATTTTATAAAAATATTTTTATTACGTTTTTTATGAATCCATGCTTTATAGATATTTTGTTTGGTTTTTATAAAGTTTTAATAGAAAAAAATAGACTTAGAGATTGTTAATAACATTAAAATCTCATTTAGGTAAAAAAAACAATAATTTTCTTAATTTTTGTCTTATTTCCATTAATTTTTGTGAATATATTTTGCAATTTTGATCATTTGAATAATTGTACAGGAAATTCTAGACAAACTTCATGAATTTTTGGCTCTTTGAAAAAATATGAACTGAGACTAACTACTCTTAGATACTAGAGTAATCACTCCAAGGAGCTAGTTTCAAGGGATAGACCAAAGTCAACACTCTCAGAAATGAGAGTAATCACTCCAGAGACGCCCAGAAGGAAGTGCCCTGCGTGTGTTTACTCTCAGAAGTGAGAGTAATCACTCCAGAAAGGGAAAAATCTAAAGTTGTTGCGCATAAATACTCTTGTTTACAGAGTGATCACTATGGGGCCATGTCAGACTTAGTATATATAGATTTTTAGAAATTAGGGTACGGATCTTTTTGCATAATTGTAGATTCTTTGCCACTTTTGGGAGCATTTTGCAGAGCTTGGGATCCTTGGGTGACAGCCAAGGGCAATCTTAGGGTTTGATTTACAATTTCCTCTTAAATTTCCTTTAATTCTTACATTGATGTCATTGAATTCCTTTATCTTTCATCTTAATTTTGTAAGACCCATCCTCATGGAGAGCTAAACTTCCTTGTAATCCTTAGTGAGTTCATGTATTCTTGAATTCCTGGGTATGAATGTCAATATAATTCTCTTTCCTTCATGAATTTATTTTTCCTAACTCTTTGAATTGAATTAATGTTTGAATGAGGGGGACATTGCTTAATTAACCCTAATTTATTTTAATGAAATTCGTAACTTAGTTTACTTAATCCTAAGTTAATTTCTAAGGTAGCGTTATCTTGGGATGAGAGATTGGAGCCCATATAAATTGCTTAATTCATATGGGAATCTAAGGTTAATTCATGCTTTTTGAGTTACCCTAATTTAGAGGAAGATGAAAAGTATTGAATCTTGAGAGGGATAAAGATAGATTGCATGAACAAACTAAGGATTGCATATTTCATTAATTTCATCACTTGCCTTTACATTAAAATTGGAATCACACAAAACCCCCTTGTTTAAATTGCTTTCATAGTAAATGTTCACAACATGTTCAATGTATGTTACAAACTAAAGTTTTTGGAGACAACCTAGGTTTGCACCCTAGATTACATAAATTTTTTTGCAAATTTTGATGAAGGTTAACAACAAATCTTTTTGCAAAACGAAATGAAAACTCATCGTTCACCAAATTGGCGTTGTTGCCGGGGACTTTGGTGTTAATTTTGCATTGAACTTGTTAGTTGCTCTGTTTTAGTGCTCTATTTTCAATTTTTCTGCATTATTACTCTGTTTTTCCTGCATAATTCTGTAGAATTCTGCAGAATTTGTTAGCTTGTGCTGCGTTTTCTTGCAATTAGTTGTAATTTCTTTTTTATTTTTGTTGCTTAACTTCTTTGCTTCATTTTACTGCACATAGACATTAGTTTCCTGCATAATTGTCATCTAAATTTTTTTTTTTTGTATTTTTTGTTATTTCATCTAGTTTACTTCTTTTCATTCTTTATAGTCAGTTTCTAGTGCATGACCAGATCGAATCCTGGAGACTTGTATCCAGAAATTGATAGGACATTTCATAGTAGCATTAGAACACATAGGAATAGTTATGAACATTTTAAGGAATCTTCATCTCCCTCATCTATCTATTCACTACCTCATTCTTTAGAATCTAAATTTGAAAAAATGGCTGACAATGAAAGAACATTAAAGGAACTGGCTGCACCGGATGTAACATATCAAACTTTATGCATACAGTATCCTAACATTGATGCTCCTTTTGTTCTAAAAACTGGACTAATACACTTGTTGCCAAGATTTCATGGCCTTGCAGGTGAAGATCCGCACAAGCACTTCAAGGAGTTCTATATTGTTTGTTCAACCATGAGGCCACAAGGTGTGCCTGAGGAGCATGTCAAGTTAAAGGCTTTTCCGTTCTCTCTGATGGATGCAGCCAAGGATTGGCTCTACTATCTCCCTCCAGGATCTATTGCTAGTTGGGACAACTTGAAGAGACTTTTTCTGGAGAAATTTTTCCCAGCATCAAGAGCTGCGTCCATAAGAAAGGAAATATGTGGGATAAGGCAACTTGAAAGAGAGACCCTCTATGAATATTGGGAAAGATTCAAGAGGTTGTGTGCTAGCTGCCTTCATCACCAAATTAGTGATCAATTGTTGATCCAGTACTTCTATGAAGGACTGCACTCTATAGATCGAAGCATGATAGAAGCCGCAAGTGGAGGGGCGTTGGTTGACAAAACTCCAATTGCAGCCCGGAATTTGATAAAGAATATGGCTGCCAACTCACAACAATTTGCAACAAGGCAAAATTCTTGTGTTACCAGAAATGTAAGTGAAGTTCAAGTTGCTGAGTCTAGTAAGATAGAACACAAGCTTGATGAATTGGCATCCATGGTGAAGCAATTGGCTTCTATGCAAAAGAGTGTTGTTGCATCTTCACCTGCTCCACCACCTATTCCAGCCATGCTGTGTGGCATTTGCTCAGCTACAGACCATTACACTAATAGCTGTCCTACACTACAAGAGTCTGATACTCTAGAAGGTAATTCTCAGGCCTATGCTGCAAATATTTATACTAATAAATTTTCTTTTCCAAATTCACATCAGCAGCCCAATTGGGATCTATCTTCCAATAGATACAACCCAGGCTGGAGGAACCATCCAAATTTAAGATGGGGAAACAATTCTCAATAGCAGAACCAGCAGCACGGCACTCAATATCAACCACATCATGCTGGCCCAAATAGATTCCATCCATCTCAACATCAACCACAACAAGCCCAGCAACATCACCAACCATCTTCCTCACAACCAAATGCACCCCAGAAAAATGAACCATCACTAGAAGAGCTCATGAAGAAATTGACCATGAACAACATCACTTTCCAGCAAAGAACTGAGGCTAGTATTAAGACTTTGGAGAACCAAATGGGACAGTTAGCCTCATCTCTGAACCAGATGCAATCTCAAGGTTCAGGAAACCTCCCTGTACAAACTGTAGCAAATCCTAAAAATGTGAGTGCAATCACTCTGAGGTCTGGAAAGGTGATGCAAGAGCCCACAATGTCCAGAGAGAAAGAAGACCCAAAATGTGCTCCATCTACAGTTGATCTAAATGGAGAGGAAAATATTCAAGAACAACCAGAACCTACATCTGCCTAACCAAAGGTGGCAGAAAATGTTGATAGGCCAATTCCTCTACCATTTCCTCAGAGAGTTATCCAGCTAAGCAAGAGGATTGAAGAGACTGAGAAAGAGATTCTTGAGACCTTCCAAAAGGTAGAGGTGAACATACCTTTACTAGATGCAATCAAGCAAATACCCAAGTACGCCAAGTTCTTGAAGACTTATGTACCCACAGGAGGCGTCTTAAAGGTAATTAGAAGGTAAATATGGGTAGGAATGTTTCTGCACTCTTTGAAAAACAAAGGTCCACAATGCCTGAGAAATGTAAGGACCCTAGAACATTCACTATCCCATGCATTATTGGTAATAATAGGATTGAGAATGCCATGCTAGATTTAGGAGCATCTATAAATGTCATGTCATTGTCCATTTTTACTTCACTATCTCTCGGCCCTCTGCAGCCTACAGGTGTGGTTATTCAGTTAGCCAACAGAAGCATAACAAACCCAGCTGGGATTGTTGAAGATGTATTAGTCAGAGTGAATGATCTCATCTTCTCAGCCGACTTTTACATTTTGGACATGCAAGAGGAAGAATCAGTAAAGGGTGTTGCACTAATCATTTTGGGAAGACCGTTCTTGATGACTGCAAGAATGAAAATTGATGTGCACGCTGGGACGCTCACTATGGAGTTTGGAGATAGCATTGTGCGCTTCAACATTTTGGACGCCATGAAGCATCCATTGGAAGAACACTCTGTTTTCCAAATTAATTTGTTGGATGATTTGATAGATGATCAATTTTCTGAATTTTTAGAAAAAGATTTTACTCTTAATTTTTCTAATTTTATAGACAATTCCATTTGTGAATACTGTAATAATTCTTCTATATTTGATAATTGTATTTCAGACTTCTTGAATATAAATTCTGCAACTACTGTTATTGAGGAAATTGGAAAATCAATAGGGGAAGAATGTGATGTTTTGAGTTCAGCAAGTACAATTAAATCTAATCCCTTTAACTTGAATGTTGCAGAAACATCTTCTATTGAAAGTGCCAAGTCACTTCCCTCTGTGGAGCAGTCTCCTACGCTAGAGCTTAAACCATTGCCAGAGCATCTGAAATATGCCTATTTAGAGGAAAATGAGAAGCTCCCAGTGATAATCTCCACCAAGCTGAATATTGATCAAGAGGAGGAGCTCCTAGAGGTGATAAGGAGACACAAGAAGGCTATAAGCTGGACTCTTGCTGATATTCCTAGAATCATCCCCTCTCTTTGTATGCACAGAATATTATTGGAGGAGGGTGCTAAACCAATGAGGCAGCCTCAGAGGAGGGTAAATCCCACCATTTTAGATGTGGTGAAGAAGGAAGTCACCAAGTTGCTGCAAGCTGGGATTATCTGTCCTATATCCAATAGCACTTGGGTCAGCCCAGTCCAAGTGGTTCCTAAGAAATCTGGACTCACTGTGGTGAAGAATGAAAAAGATGAGTTGATACCCACCAGAGTCCAGAATAGTTGGAGAGTCTGTATAGACTACAGAAGGCTTAACCAAGTGACCCAGAAAGATCACTTCCCATTTCCTTTCATTGATCAGATGTTGGAAAGGTTGGCTGGTAAGTCTCACTATTGTTTCCTTGATGGTTTTTTCGGTTATTTTCAAATTTGCATAGCACCTGAAGACCAGGAAAAAACCACTTTTACATGTCCTTCTGGCACTTTTGCCTATAGGAGAATGTCGTTTGGCTGGTGCAATGCTCCAGGCACATTTCAAATATGCATGCTCAGTATTTTTTCTGATTTAGTGGAGCATTGCATAGAAGTCTTTATGGATGACTTTACTGTATATGACCCATCTTTTTCTGCATGTTTGGTTAATTTAGAAAAAATTTTGAAAAGATGTATTGATACTAACCTTGTACTAAATTTTGAAAAATGTCATTTCATGGTAGAGCAAGATGTAGTATTAGGCCATATCATTTCTGAAAAGGGAATTGAAGTAGATCCCGCAAAACTTGATGTTATTGCACAACTACCTTACCCCTCTTGTGTTCGAGAGGTTCGTGCTTTTCTTGGCCATGCAGGGTTCTACAAGAGATTCATTAAGAACTTCTCCAAAATTGTCATTCCCCTGTCTAAGCTTTTGCAAAAGGAGGCTGAGTTCAATTTTGATGAAAAGTGCAAAGAAACGTTTAATATGCTTAAGGAAGCCCTGACGACCACACCCATCATCCAACCTCTAGACTGGACCACACCATTTGAATTAATGTGTGATGCATCCAATTTTGCAGTGAGGGCTGCATTGAAACAGCGGGTTGGTAAGTTTCCTCACATCATTTATTATGCTTCTAGAACTTTGGATCTAGCACAATCTAATTACACCACAACTGAAAAAGAATTGTTGGTCATCATTTTTGCACTGGACAAGTTTAGATCATATCTGTTAGGGTCAAAAGTTATGGTTTTTACTGATCATTTTGCTTTGAAGTACTTACTGAAAAAGACAGATTCTAAGCCTCGGCTTATAAGATGGATGCTTCTACTTCAAGAGTTTGATCTGAAGATCAAGGATAGGAGCGGAACACAAAATCTGGTAGCTGACCACCTGAGCCGGATAAAAGGAGTTCCTAACCCTATTCCAATCTTAGATGACTTTCCTGATGAACAACTCTTAGAGTTGTATGCTTCACAGGCACCTTGGTACACTAACATTGTTAATTTTCTTGTTGCAGGAGTTTTTCCAGCAGGTGCACCAAAAGCTAGAAAGGATAAGATAAAGAGTGATGTCAAACACTATGTTTGGGATGACCCTTATTTATGGAAATTCTGCAGTGACCAAGTCATTAGAAGATGTGTGCCTGATGAAGAGATCTCATCCATACTGCAGTTCTGTCATGCCTCAGTTATAGGAGGTCATCAAGGACCCCAAAGGACTGCAAGAAAAGTATTGGATGCAGGACTGTATTGGCCCTCCATTTTCAAGGATTCATAGCAAGCATATTCCACCTATGAAAGATGCCAAAGAGCAGGCAGAGTAATTACCTGGAGACAAGAGATGCCCTAGCAACTCATCCTGTACTGTGACATCTTTGATGTCTGGGGTATTGATTTTATGGGACCATTCTCTTCCTCTTTTGGTTTTCTGTATATACTTCTTGCTGTTGATTATGTCTCAAAATGGGTGGAAGCTAAAGTCACCAGGACTAATTATGCTAAAGTTGTTGCAGATTTTGTCCGTAGCAACTTGTTTTGTAGGTTTGGAATCCCTAGAGCCATCATTAGTAATCAAGGAAGTCACTTCTGCAATAGGACTATAGAAGTATTGTTGAAGAAATATGGAGTTATGCACAAAGTTTCCACTGCCTACCACCCACAGACAAATGGGAAGGTTGAGCTCTCCAATAGGGAAATCAAGAAAATACTTGAGAGAGTAGTGCAGCCCCATAGAAAAGATTGGAGCCACAGGCTTGATGATGCCTTGTGGGCACATAGAACAACATTTAAGACACCCTTGGGAATGTCACCATACAGGGTGGTCTATGGAAAAGCCTGCCATCTGCCAGTTAAAGTGGAACACAAAGCTTATTGGGTAGTAAAGACTTGCAATGTCCATTATGACTCAGCTGGAGAGCAGAGGAAATTACAGCTGCAAGAGTTGGAGGAACTACGTCTGGAGGCCTATGAGAACTCCAAAATTTACAAGGAAAAGACCAAACAATACCATGACAAGAAGATTTCAAGCAAAGAGTTCTACATTGGTCAAAAGGTTCTTTTGTTTAATTCTCGGCTTGGACCTTTCACTGTTACAAAGGTATTCTCCCATGGTACAGTGGAAATCATAAGTGACTCCACTAGCAAAAGCTTTATGGTGAATGGACACCGGTTGAAGCCATTCTTGCAAAATTCAGTTACCTTGGAAGAAGTTGAGGAGATTGAACTGCATTCACCATGCACAAATCTCTCCTACAACCTATGGTCTGAGTAATCTACTTCATGCGTCAAGCTAGTGACGTTAAAGAAGCGCTGTGTGAGAGGCAACTCACAAAAATCTTAGGAATTTTAGTTATTTTTCTGCAATAAATGCTGGTCTTACATTTGAAGCCTCTCTATTTTGATACTTCCTTATCTTGGTACCTTGTTGCATCAACTAACATGGTTTTTTCTGCATAATTCCCATTTTTGCAGAGTAAGATTGTGATTGTGGGGACTAAATGCTGCACAAAATCAAGGAAGTTTGGATGCAGTAGGATGGTAAATATTTTTCAAGCTTAAGGCAATCCCCTTGGTAAAAAAAACAAAAAAACAAAAGATCATCCTGAAAGTAAGCACTTTTCTGAACAAAAGTAATCACTTTCAATTCTAACTTGCATATTCACTCTCTGTAGTGAGCACTCTCACACTTAATAGTGATTACTTTCATTGATTGTAAGCCCAAGGTGATGCGCGTGTTTACTCTTTAAAAGTCATAGTGAACACGCCCAAGCATTTTAGCACAGCGCCCAGGGTGAAGCTTCTGGAGTGTTTACTCTTGAAAAGTTGACAGTAAACACGCGCAGAGCTTGTTACCCACTTTGACCCTAAAGCTTTTGGAGTGTTTACTCTTGAAAAGTTGACAGTAAACACGCACAGAGCTTGTTACTCACTCTGGCCACACATATATATATATATATATATATATATAGTGCTCACTCTCACACACTCTTACCCCAATTCTGAACATTTCTCACTGCCATTCTCAAATTCCTCCCCTTCACTCATTCGTATTTGGTTTCTCACCCCAAAGGTTCAGTTTGCTCACATCTTTTTCGTAACCTGCAAATCCAATTCAGGTAATTCTTAACTTTTATTTCCTGGAATTAAGGTTCTTGTTGTGAAATTAGGGATTTCAACTTCCCAATCTCCTGGACTGTAATTGTGTGTTTTAATTTGTAATTCCATAAGTGTTTCTGCATTTGAGACTTAATGGAACCAGTTAATTGCGTTTAATTGCTGCACTTTAGACATTTTAAACCCTAGGGTAGTTGCCCTGTGCGCCCAGAGTACTCATTTTGGATGTTCTGAATTTTGAACTTTTGGACTAAAATTGTTAAATTGCAAAAGTTATTACTTGGATGTTTAGGTGATTGAAAGATGAATGGGGCACTTCATTTGATTGTTTTGCTGAATTGAGAAGTGCTGCCTTAGGAGTAGCCACTCCCATTTGTAAGAGTTTTCACTTTGGGTGTTCTGTTGTGTTGATGTTTACATAGTTCAACTAGGATGTGTAATTTTTAATTTTTGATGCATTTCCTGAATTCACTACTAATTACACAATTCCCTTGTGTTATCCTAGTTGTTTTGGCAGCAAATAAGCCTTATAGTGATAATTGCCATGATCATGTTACTGGAAATATTTCCCCCACCACAACGTGATAATTTGGGATTCTTTGCTGTCTTGAATGTGATAAATTGTTATCATTGCTGCACTTTTATTATACACATTCAATCACCCTTGTTGCATGATCATACACAGCATACACCTTATTTTTAATACTCTGCATATTGAGAATGGTTACTCTCATCTCCACAAATACGCCCTGAGCTAAAGTAGTTATTAGATACTGCATTCTATCTGCTTGAACTCATTGTTTTTGTTACCTGCTGCACCAATTCAACCTTTAATAAGCACATTTTTTTGCATTTTCATTCACTCTTGTCATTTTCCATATTGTCACACTCTGTTGGATTGTTGCTAAGTAACACTTACCAGAGTTAAATCTCAAAGTAACTATTGTCTATCATTTCTCATATTGGGCATTTAGTTGCATAATCCTCATTTTGCAATTGCATAACACTATCTGTTCACTCTCATGCTCAAATGC